CGAAGGCCCCATTCCCCACCCCCGAGCCAGCCAATCCCTGCCCTGGGGCCAGATGGGAGCCGGTGCCCACTAGAGGGGAAAGGACCCGTGCCCCGTGCCCCACCCCGAGCCAGCCAGGCCAGCTTGCACCAGGGAGGGCCTGATGCCCCAGGCAGGCTTTCACTCTAGGGGCACTTGCTGAGGAGGCAGTGGTGTCTCCCGGTCCCCGGAGAGCAAGGGGTTAATCTCGCCTTCCCCGCCTCCCATAGCCCCTTTAAAAACTCCCGGTTTTTGTCCCTGCTGCAGCCCCCCGACGCTCCTCCCGGCGCCCGTGAGCACCACGACCACCCCGCTGCCCCTCGGCCCCAACGTCGTCTTCGGCTGCCAGTCCCTGTCGCCGTAAGCCAACCAGCCCCCGCCTCTGCCCAGCCACTGCCAGCCCCTAGAGGGGATATGCCCCATTCCCTGCCCCCGACCCAGCCAGTCCCCCGCCCTGGGCCATCTGGGAGGTGGCGCCCCCTGGAGGGGAAAGGCCCCTGTCCGTTCCCTTCCCCTCCCCAACCCAGCCCATCCCTGCTCTGGGGCTAGGGTGGGAGCTGGCGCCCCCTAGAGGGGAAAGGCCCCATGTCCCATTCCCCAGCCAGCCAGTCCCCGCCCTGGGGCTAGGATGGGAGCTGGCACCCCTTAGAGGGGACAGGCCCGTGTCCCAGTCCCTGCCCCCGAGCCAGCCAGTCCCCGCCCTGGGGCTAGGGTGGGAGTTGGTGCCCATTTCTCCCCCGGCTCCCTCTCACCCGCTGCTCCGTGCCCGGCAGGAATTTGCTGTCCTACAGGTACTTGCCAGGGGACCCCATGGCCCTTGTCCTGGAGGACCTGTCTCCCAACCCCATGGACGAGGAGATGCCGGAAATCGCCCCCTTCTCGCCCGCCAGCCACGGCTCGCCCTTCGGGACCCTCCTGCCGGCCCCTCCCCAGCTGCTGGCGGCGAGGTAAGTGCCCCCGGAGGGGCGGGGAGGGGGACGGCCGGGGGGCTGGGCTGTGGCCCCCTTCCCAACCCGCCTCCTCTTTTCTCCCCGGCCAGCCTGGGCAACAACATGGACTTGCCCTCGGAGGACGAGATCACCCAGCTCTTGTACGAGGCACAGATGGAGGAGGGGCTCCAGCCCCCCACCCAGCCCTGCAGCTACGGCGACCCCATGGCCAACCCCAGCTGGTGACCTCGCGGCGGGGGGGCCCCCGCTGGACACTTTGGAGAACGACGCCCATCCAGGAGAGACGTGGCGAGGGGCTGGGGGGTCTCGGCTGGGACCCTCGGGGCCTGCCCCAGCCGGACTTCAGCCTGGGACTGAGCCGCGCTTGGGGGCTTGGCTAGGTGTGCGGGGGGGGAGCGGTGTGGCACATGGGGGGCCATCAGTGTCCCCTCCTTCATTGCCTTGTGTTAGCCATGTACAAACGCCGCACCATGGAACACGCTGACCCACCCGACCCCATCCTGGGGCTGGCAACCACGGCAGCAGGGGCAGCCCCCCTTTGCCCCCCCCAGGCGGGCGGGGGGGGGGGGGGGGGGGGGGGGGAAGAGACACACCACCCATTGGAGCAGGGAGTCTGGGCAGCCTGGATTTCAGCCTGGGGTGTGTGTTGTGGGGCTGCAGATTCCACCCACCCAGGGGGAGGAGCCTGTTCTCCAGGGGGCGGCAGGGGTGGGGGGGTGAGGTCAGGCTGGCTGTGCCCCCCCCCCCATCTCTGCAGCCTGGGGAGGGCTGTGGGTATTAGCAGCTGGTGCTGGGCAGGGGGATAAGGATCCAGCAAAGCTTGCCGGGGGGGGGAGGGGAGCAGCCAGGGATCAACCCCCCAGCTTGCCCCTTGCTATGGGCCTCCCCCCACTAGGGGCCCAGGCAGGACAGCGGTGGGGGGGGGGGAGGAGACACACGCAGCAGATGCCCCCTACCCTCTTCCCCAGAGCTGGGGGGGGGGCCCCCGACCCAAGGCCCTGCTGGAGGAGCAGGGGTGGGCAGTGGAAAGGCTCTTGTGTGGGCTGGGATGAGTCACGAGGGAGGGGGCTGGTTTAAAGGGCCTGTACCTCGCCTTCCCCCCCAGCCTTAGCCGCTATCCTTCCCTGCCCCACAGCTGGGGGCCTGCCCCTCCCCCCTCTCAAGTCACAGGCCCTGCCCAGGGGCCGGCCTGAAGCAGAGCTGGATGCTGGCCTGCCCCATGTGCCCCATAAGGGGGCAAAGGGTAGCTGGCTCAGCCCCCCCCCGCCCCCTCGAAGAGGGACAGAGGCAGAGTCGATCCACACTGCCTGCATGGGGCTTTGCTACTAAACGCTACAGAAAGAGATTCTGCCTCAGTTTCCCCACCCACAGGGAGGCCAGTGCCTCTCACTCCCGACCCGCAGCCCCCTGCTAGCCCACTCTGCCCCCCACCTTTGCTGCTGCCCCTCCTCTATTGCCCCCTATGCTCTGCCGCCCACCCCCATCCCGTCCCATCAACCCCACCTTGCAGCTGGGGAGCGGGGAGGAGATTAAGCCATAAAATAAAGTTTTATTACAAAATAACAAAATAAATAATCTACTGTACACGTTGCAAAGGAAAAGTCACTAATGCTCTAAGCCGGCGGCCTACGGGAGCGTGAACGGGTCTCGAACCAGCGCTGCCGGGAACTGGGGGGGGGCGTCACCAGCAGGGGCTCCACAGTACAGCCTGGACCCCCCCCCCCAGGGAGTGAGGAGGAGGGGAACAGCCTCCTGTGGAATATGCTGAGGGCAGTGACACTGGTTCTGAGGGGGCCCCCCCATCTTTTCCCTAGTGCCCCCACCAGCCAAGGTGGCTTTTTAATCTGTTCTGCCCCCCCTGCGGTGGTGACATGGGGGTACCCTGATTGTCCCTTTAAATCTCTCTTCCCCCCCTCCCCCCGTCCTAATGCCCCCCATGCTGGGGGGTGGATTGTCTGCCCTGTACCCTGCGCTGTGTGCAAACAGCCGGCCCCAGAGCCCCTGGGGTGGGAATACAGCCGGTGCCTGGGTGTGTTATGGGGGCGGGGGGGGGCTGATACCCAAAGGACAGCACGTGCCCCCCCCCCCAGCCCAGCAGGTGGGGTCGGCTGGGCAGGAGCAGGGATGGGGGGCTTGCAGACCAGGATGATCGCACTGCTGGGCCAGTGAATTTGGGGGGGTAGACAGGGGGGGGGGGGGGGGGGGGGGAGGGGGAATTTTGGGGGGGGGGCCCCCCCCCCCCCCCGGACCTCCCTGCCCGCAGCCTCTGCCCACCACGGCTACTGGGGGAGGCTGGGCCAGACCCTCCGAACTCAGAATCCTCCTCCTCACCCCCTGCGATCACCCCTGGTGGCCCCTTCAGCCCCCCCAGGCCCTTTCAACCCCCCCATTCTTGTGCTTTGCCTGCAAGAGCCCTTCCCTCTTCCTGGGGTCCCCCCCAGTTCCTTTCTTCTCCCTGCCTCCCGGGGGGGGGGGGCGGATGGATGTCCCCCCCCCCTTAACACCCCCTGGAACTGAAGAGTTACAATTCACATCACCCCAGCTGCGAGTGCAGGGGGCTGGGGTGGGTTTTGGAGGGGGGGGGGCTGCAGGGGGGCGATGTCTGGGGCTGGTGGCAGTCGGAACGTGACCAGCTGGTTCCATTAGCCGCGCTGTGCCCTCCCCGCTGGCCCGTCACTTCGCCCTGGGCACGGCCCGATCTCTGCTGCGCCTCTCCCAAACCTCCCAGTGCCCATGGGCATCGGGTCCCCAGGCCCGGCTCTCTGGGGAGCAGACGGGGGGGTGCTCCAGCACCAGGATAGATCATGGGGGGGCCACCTGCCCCAGGCCTGTGGTTATTGCTTGGTTAGTGGAGGGGGGGGAGCTGCCGTGGGCCCCCACCCCAACCAGGGGGGCATCTGCGGCTCACTGCCGGCTGGTCTCCTGCTCCACCTTGACGCTGCTGCGGCGGGACTCGGCCGGGGCCGGGGGGCCCCCCTCTGCCAGCCCGTCCTCGAACTCTGCGGGGAGACAGAGCCAGGGTCAGTGTCAGCCTGGGGGCCCCGTCCCCTCGCGCCGGAGCCCCCAGCATCACCCCCCCCCGAGGAAACACCCTCCCCCCACCCCCGCGGGTTTCAATGGGGTTCCCAGGACGTCAGCCGCCCCCGCCCCCACTTCCTTCCTCTCCTGTCTGGGCGGGGAGGGGGGGGGGATTTCCACAATTGTTTCTTTTTTCCATTCAGTAACGGTGAGACTAAGAGCAAATCACAGAGCTGGGCCTGGGCCCCCCAGCTCCACCGGTGCCCCTCACTCCCGACCCGCAGCCCCTGCTAGCCCAGCCCTGGGCTCCCCACCCCCAGCTCTGCCGGTGCCCCTCCCTCCTGACCCGCAGCCCCTGCTAGCCCGGCCCTGGACTCCCCCCAGCCCTGCTGGTGCCCCTCACTCCCGACCTGCAGCCCCTGCTAGCCCAGCCCTGGGCTCCCCACCCCCAGCTCCGCCAGTGCCCCTCCCTCCCGACCCGCAGCCCATGCTAGCCCAGCCCTGGGCTCCCCCCCCACCCAGCTCTCAGCCCCAAGCACATAGTCCTGAGCTGGGTGCAGGGAACAGCCCATGTGGGTATAACCCCTCCCCCCCAGCCAGGTACCACCCTAAGGCGCCTGCCCCACCCCCGCTATCCCATCCCGGGGGCAGCTCACCTGGGCCTGGGGACTTGCCCCGCAGGCAGGGGCTGAGGCGCCCGACGCGCTCGTGGGACACCAGCCTGGCCAGGCGCAGCCCCTCGTCCATCAGCGTCTGCTGCAGGATGTGGCGGCTCCAGAGCCCGTGGGGGGGGAGGCTGAGGGGCAGGTCAGGGGCGGCGCTGGGGGGCGGCGTGAGGCGGGGGCAGGAGCCGACGGCTGCAGAGAAAGAGAGAGAGAGCGCACATGTGTCAGTGGGGGGAGCGGGGGGGTCAGATAGGTGCCAGGGGCTGCAGTCTCTGCCTCCCTATAGAAGCTATGGGGGGGGGTTGATGCATGGGCACCCCGCCCCCCCCCCCCCCCGCCCAGTAGCACAAGGGGCGTCTGTGTCCTGCCCTGGATCTGGGCGAGGGCCCTGCGGTGCGGACGGGGTTAATCAGTACAAAGCCCCCCCCAGCCCTGCTCCCCACTCACCCTGCAGGTGCCCGTCCAGGCTCTCTCCCGACAGGCTGGCCGCGTCCTCCTCCAGGCTGGCTCTGTACGGGGGGGCGTAGGACTCCGACCCCCCCGGCAGCTGCAGGGGCTCGGGGCGGCTCTGCTCACCCACCTGCGGGGCGAGCGGCTGGTTAGAGCGGGGGGAGAGGGGGTGCCCAGCTGGACGGATGGAGGCACCGAGCTCAGGCAGCCCCACCGGGTCTGCAGGCCCAGGTAGCCGGGATGGGGGTGAGCCGGGCCCATCCTGCGTGGGCACAGGGCGCAGGCCACGCTCTCCTGAGGGCAATGCACCGAGCGCCTCGGCTACTGGGGACGTGGGCTGGGAATCCCCCAGCAGGCAGCTCAGAGCCTGGGGCAGACCCTGGCTGAGGAGGGCGACACTCCCCCTCCCCCAGTGCCAGCTCCTCTCCCTCGCCCGCTGCTCCAGCGCCCCCAAAGCCAGCTGTCGTCCCCCCCGCCTGGCGCTCAGCCACACGCAGCCCAGTGACACCCCCGGGGCACCCGCCCGTCCGGCACCCACCTCCTGCTTCAGCTTCTTGGGCTGCACGGCTCCGCTCTCGTCCGGATGCGACCTGCGCGGAAGCGACAGGACAAACAGCGTCAGGGGCCGGGAGGCGCTGCCGGGGCAGGAGGGTTCAGACCTCGGCTCGAGGGGCAGGCAGAGACCCCGCAGCCTGGGGCGGGCGGATACCGGAGCCGACGGGTCTGCCGGGACTCCTCCGGCTCAGCCACCCATCGCACCCGGGGGGGGGGGGCCCAGCCCCGCCTAAGCCAGGGGGGGGAGGGGGCTGCAATCCGGGGCCCGCGGCCCCCCCCCCGGGCACCCCTGATGTCGCCCTCCCTGGGAAGCCGTGGCTCAGATGGAAAATATCCAAAGCGAAAGAGGAACTCGGGGGCTGGGCTGCAGGGCAGGTGGGCGGCTGGCTCGGCAGGGGCGGGGGGGATGAGAAATCCCCCGTGTGGAGGGGAGGAAGAGGAGGCCCCCACAAGAGGGAGTGGGCAGGGCAGCGCCGCTGGGCACGGGGGGCAGATAGGGGGGGGGGGGGGGAGGGAGAGCAGGAGTCTGCAGCAGCCTCCCCACAGCCTGATGCCCCCTGTGCCCCTCACCCCACTGCTCTCCCCCCTCCTGTGCCCCACCCCACTCCTCTGCGCCCCACTGCAGCCCCCACCCCATGCTCTGCTTCCCCGTACCCTGAGCAACACCAGGGCCAAGGGGCCGCACGGGAGAGGGCGCGAGGGGCGTCTCCGGGGGTCCCCGCGGCGAGGGAGGGGCCCAGCTCACCTGGCTCCCTTGAGCGAGGACAGGTAGGTGCTTTCCCGGGCCACCTGGCGCGACAGGGAGAAGAGCTCCACCCGGCGCAGCAGCAGCGTGTGGTCGCGCAGGCAGAACTGCGCTGCCGCCTCGTTGATGGTCAGCTGGGGGGCGAGACGGAGGCCGTTAGCGGGGGGGGGGGGGGCAGGAGCCTTGACACCATGGGGAGGGGCAGAGAGACAAGAACCAGGGATGGATGGGCCGAAGGCAAGATAAAGGATCCAGGGATGGATAAACAGAAGAGGGACGGCAAGACATCAGGAATAGAACCCAGGCGTCCTGGCTCCCAGCCCCCCGACCCTCACCACCATCCATGGACTGTTGCAGTCGGATACAGGATTCCCCTTCCCGAGCCATCCCACCCCAGAGGTGGCTGCATTGGGGGGGGGGTCTAGGCGAGGGCTCTCCTGTGGCCCCCTTGTTGCCAAGCCCCCCGCCCCGGTGGCGTGTGCTGCCCACGGCCATCGCCCCCGCCCCCCCTCGCGGCTCACCTCGTGCAGCGTGAGCGGCTTGCCGTCGCGGCGCCGGGCCTCGCCCCGCCCGTAGATGGCGCTGTGCCGCCGGATCTCCTCCTCCTTGCGCCGGTCCCCGTCGTCCAGCTGGAAGATGTGCCCGACCGCCTTGGCCAGCTTCTTGTTGAGCTTCATGAGGGCGCGCAGCTCCGGTTCGCCCCCCCGCGGGCAGCTCTGCAGGAGCCGCTCGACGCTCTCCGCCACCGTCCGCGCCAGCTCCGGGTCCAGCTGCTCCGGGGCCGGCTCCCCGCCCACCCCTGGCGAGAAGGGGGGCGGCCCCCCATCTTCCTCCGTGCCACCCCCCTCTGACTCCGGGGTGCTCCGCCCCGGCCACTGGGGGGCCGGCAGGGGGGAGAGCTTCTCCCCTGGCTCCGAGGGGCTGCGGGCGGGCGGCGTGGCCAGTCCGCTGCCCCCCTTGCCCGGGGCCTCGCCGGGGCTGGCGTGCCCGTTGCTGAGCGACTTGCGCCCGCCGGTCTCGGAGATCTTGAAGAGGGGGATGCTGCTGACGGGCAGGGAGGCCATGGGCTGGCTGAAGAGGCCGGGGTTGGCTGCCCACTCCCGCAAGGCCTTTTGGAGGCGCCGGACGTGCAGGGGCTTGGTGGCCATGCCGACCAGCGCCATGATCTCCAGGAACTCCTCCTCGCCCGCCTCGCACAGCTGCTGCACGTCGTCCCCGCCCTGCTGGATGAAGGTCTCGTAGTAGGACAGCAGGTTGGCCCGCTGCAGCACGCGGTACAGCTGCAGCTCGCCCAGGGTGCGGGGCAGGGCCATGGCGAGGGGCAGGCCTGTGGGGGGAAGAAGGGGCGTCAGTGCCAGGGCAGGGCATGGGGGGGGGAGATGAATGGAGACCCAGCCGCCACCCAGAGCTCGACAGCCAGGGGAGTCGGGGTCCCCGACCCAGCCCTGGGAGAGGGAAGGCCACCGGCTGGTGTGTGGTAAGAGCCTGGGCACTGTACCAACCTCACTGCACTGCACCCAGCACC